GGAGGGCGCGCCGCCCCGCACGTCGCCGCGCTCGCAGTGCCGCAGGAGCGCGAAAGACGCCGCGACGAATTCGTCGGCCGCTGCCGCCAGCTGCGGCGAGCAGCCCTCGAGTCGCTGGCGCAGCGGGGCGCGGTCGAGCTCGAAGACGGCATCGAGTTGCTCAGCCCGCCCGTCCGCCAGCACCGCGAGCTGGCGCACCGCCGTCTGCGCGTCCTCGCCGGTCTCCTCCGCGAGCTTCTCGAGCGAATCGAGCGTCGTGTCGCGGTGCTGGCGGAAAATCTTGAGCTCGATCGGCGACGCCGCCGCCGGCACGGCCGCCAACCCGCCGGCGGCGTCGCGCGCCACGCCGTCGGCGACCGGCGAGAGAGCGAACGGCACGCCAATGGCTGCAGCCATCGACGCGCTCCACGCCTCGAGCGCGATCCACGCCTCGCCGTCGCCGCGGCAAATCTTGTATGACCGGACCCCCGGCAGGAACAAGCACTCGGGCTGCTTGTCGCTCGCCTGCTCCAGCCAGCGGTTCGCGCGCTGCGCCGACACCTCGAGCGACTCGGTCAGCAAGTGCCGCGCCGGCGAGATGGCTTCGCCGGGCGAGACGTCGGCCTCGCTGCCGCGGATCACCTCCAGAACGACGGCGACCGCCTCCGCCCGCGAGGCAAAGGGGCGCCTAGATAAAGTTCGCCTGCCGTGAGAGTCGTCAAGCGCGGGGGAGAAGCGCTGCCGTGCGCACGGCGTACGTGACCCACTCGCCCCGGTAGTCGAAGACGCAGAACTTGGCAGCGGCGCCTACGAACTTGAAGTGCATCTCTGCGCCGCGCGCGTGTGTCTCTCGCGCCGAGAAAAGCGGTGTGTGTGTGTGTGTGTGTGTGTGTGTGTGTGTGTGTGTGTGTGTGTGTGTGTGTGTGTGTGTGTGTGTGTGGACTGTGCGGTGCGGTGTGGTGTGGTGTGTGCGCGCGCGTGAGTGCGCGTGCTGGGGCTGCCTCCGAACCACTCGTTGAGCGAGCCATCCTCAACGAACAGCTTGCTCATGCGCTCGCTGCGCAGCAGGTGGCCCTGCGCAACGAAGTGCGCGTAGGAGCCCCGCTGCTCCGTGGTCGGGGCGTCGGGCGCCACCGCGCGAGCGAGCGCGAGCTCGGCCCCATAGTAGCACGGGATCAAGCGCACAATCAGCTGCATAAGCTGGTCCGACCACGCGGTCACGCGACGCCGCACGCCGCTCCAGATCAGCGCGCGAAGGAAGTTGGCCTGAGCGGGATGCGAGTGGAGTAAGAGAGCAGAGCGACATGTGCCTGTGCGTGGCGCTGTGTGTGCACTGTGTGTGATGAGTCGGCGCGTGCAGGTGGCGGTGTGTGCCTCGGTGCACGCGGAGAATCGCGGGTCCTCCTTGACGTCCTCCAGCAGCTGGAAGAAGCCCGCCTCGGTGAGCGCGGCGCGCACGGTGGTGAAGGAGAGAATGACGGCGAGGGCCGCGCAGCCGAGGGCGGCCTCGCGGTGCGAGCAGGAGAGGACGCCCTTCAGCCAGCCGAGCCCCTCGACGTCGTCGACGAAGAGCTTCTCGAGCAGCCTGCCGATGCTCTCGTACACGGCGCGGAGCGGCGCGCCGCCGCCCTTGTCGAGCGCGGCCGCGTACATTGTTGCGATCTCATCCGCGTCGGTGGTCACCTTGGCCGAAGCTCCATGCTTTTGGCGGCGCAGCTCGGCCCGGACTCGCCGGATCAATGCTGCGATCATGGCGCTCTCGGAGTCGCCCGCTTGCACGTCGTCGGCCTCAGGAATCTCGCGCCTCGCGGCCTCGATGCCGGCGGCGGGCAGCGCCGCGTCGCCGGCGAGCCCCGCATCCGAGCTGGCCTCGTCCTCGTCCTCGTCCTTGCTGTCGTCCTCATCGCCGCCGCCGCTGCTGCCGCCACCGCCGCCGCCCCTGCTGCTGCCGCGCCGGGTCTCACCTGCTACATGGGTCGAGGAGACGCATTTTGCGCTCCGATCGAGAGGCTGCGAGTGAAGTGTCCAGGGCCGCAGATTGCGGCCCGACCGCGCATGCTACTCTAGGGGGCGCGCGACCGCGCCCTCCCAAGCCCGCTTCTTCGCGCCGCGCCCGCCGCCGCCGCCGCCGCTGCTGCCGCCACCGCCGCCGCCCCTGCTGCTGCCGCGCCGGGTCTCACCTGCTACATGGGTCGAGGAGACGCATTTTGCGCTCCGATCGAGAGGCTGCGAGTGGAGTGTCCAGGGCACCGCAGATTGCGGCCCGACCGCGCATGCTACTCTAGGGGGCGCGCGACCGCGCCCGCTGCGACGGCCCGCTGCGGCGCCTCAACCGAGCGCTTGGGCGGCGCAGGCCTCTTGGCTCCGCCGCGCTTCTTCTTCGGCGGTTCCTCGCTCTCCGAGCCGGACCACTCTGAGCCCGAGTTGTCTCTGCCGCCGTCGCTGTCCGAGGCAGACCACTCGCTGTCCGAGCTCATTGCCTTCCGAGGCGGCAGAGGGCGAGAAAACTTTCTTTTTTGTTTACTCTAGGCACGGGACTGGCGCGCACTGGCACTAACACAGGTACACCACGGGAGCCGAGTGTCGTGCGAGAAAAAGAATTTCTCCTCAAGCCAAAGAAACCCGGCGCCCTGTTCGCCTCGGCGCATGTCCGGCGCCCCCACATCCGCTTACGGCTTACACCCCTTCGGCTGCAGGAACGCCCCTGGTGTGCAGGATGGTTGTCATAGAGGACCCGCTCTTCCGGTCTCCCTGCGCGCGTCGGGCGGGTTGTCACGCTCGCCACCATCGCATGGAGCATGGTCCATGCACTGGTTGGGTAGTAGTCTAAGTTCTGAGCCTCGCGGCTTAACGGGTCTAAGTGTGGCTAGCCACGCTGGAGTGCTTACGCGGTCTAAGATCAGCGGGAGCCTCTTACACCGGCTAAGTCGGCCATGGCACGCGATATACGGCGCTCGCGCCCAAATTTTCTTCGCCTGCGCGGCGGGCGATCGATCCTCCTCATGCTCAGCAATCGCCGCCTCAGCATCCTCCTCTTCCGATTCTCGTTGCTGCTTCTTGAGCGCACTTCGGCGACATCTAGCCAAATAGTTCTCACAAATAGCCTCAAGCTCAAACAAACGCATGTCAGAGAAGCCTGTGTATGCTGGTCCTCTTTGAACGATCCGCGCGTGAGGTAGCATAGGGCCTTGTTGGCAGCAGCCAGCTTGTTGCGCTGCTTCGTTGCGATGAGCTGATTGGGATCGCAGAAGTGCATGCCAAGCACCGCCACGATCTTGAAGCAGAACACATCGCAACCGCATCGTCCGCACTGCCATCGGCATGCCGCGCCCGCCGCTTCGCCGCAGCCGCCTTAAGGCACGCATAGCGGCAGCACATGGTACGGTGCGCGTACTTGAGCAGGCGTTGCGCGCCGCAAGTAGCGCACTGGCCCTGGGAGACGGCGATATGGCGTCGTGCGCGGCATACGCTGGTCGGGACCGCGTCCAGGTATTTTTCGGGTAAACCTGGACTTTTGCAGGTATACCCGGGTTTTACCCGGAGTTGGCCTCGTGTCGTCTAAGTTCATGGCCCCCGGCCTTCCAGCGTCTAAGTCTGAGCCCGGCTCCGTGCGGGGGCTAAGTTGAGCGCTCGCTCGCTGCAGAGGCTAAGTGTAGAGCGACCCTCTAGCCCTACTACCCAACCATTGTCCATGCACGTTCGCGACATCGACCTCTTTCTGCTTTATGCGCGAATGACTTTCTCGCACCCACTAGTGCTACTGACTCTACCTCTAGCGGCGCGCTAGCGGCGCGCGGGATGACAACCGCCCAGCGCCTCTCTCTCACTCCCCGCTGGGACGCGTCCCAGTAGACGAGCCTCCCGCCGACGATTCGCGCGGGATGACCCACTTTCTACGGTCTGAATCGAGGCGATCGATCCCTGGTACAAACTCGCCGTCAGGCCCCGTGCCGCTAAACCTAAATGCCGGCAGGTCGCGCACCGCCGTCCTGCTAAATCGGCTCGGTACCGGCACGCTCACATCCGTGACAAAGGAGCGGAAGATGTCGTGCTCGCTCAGCTTGTCGCGGAACCGCGCGTGCGCAATCACCGCCCTCTCGAGCGCCTCGGTGATCCGTGCGTTCGACGTGTGCGAGCACCTACACGCGTCGCAGCAGCGCGCGCTCAAGGTGGCGGAAAGGGAGGCTCAAAGAGTAAAAAGCGAGGCGCCAGTGCGCGTGGAAGCGCTCGTGCAGGAAGAGGAGCTCCCACTCGGGCACGCGCACGTCCTGATCCTCCGTCTCGGCCAGGATGGGCCGCATGCAGAGCACCTTGTAGTCGGCTCCCGGCGGCCCCTCCCGCTCCACCCGCTCAATCGCGTGCGGCATCGCGCCGAGCCGGTCGACAAAGAAGACCATGCCCGCCTTGGTGTTGACCTTCCGCCGCTTCGTGGGGTCGCCACGCTTGCAGACAAACGGCCCGCCCCCCCGGGGGGCGCGCACGACGTCGGACGGGCGGGGCCGCTTGCGGCGCTGCTCGCGCGGCAGCTGCTCGTCCGAGTGGTGCCGGCCCTCGCGCAGGGCCTCGTCTATGCGGCGCTGCGCGGCGTCGGCAGGCATGTCAGGCGGGACGAACGGGCGGAGAAGATGGACCGGCAGCCATCGGCCCGTTCCGTCCTCCTCTCGAAGCACCCTCACCTGGCGCATCGCCGCGAGCGGTGAGACGGCCCGAGTGCCCTGGCCGCGCCGCGCCGTGCCCAGCTCTTCCTCTGGCAACTCGCCGACCACGTACACGTGGGCCCAGGATGAGCCGTGCTCCGGCTGGCCAAACACGGGGAGCGCTCGCGCAAGCAGCGCGCCAAGGGCGGATCCCAAGTTGGGAAAGTACATGCGCCGGGCCTCCGCAAACTGCTCCTGCGCGTCGACGACTTCCGTGACGCCGAGCTGAAAGAAGTCGATCTCGCGCACGTGCATGGTGGCGAGCGTGACACCGCCGACGCGCAGGGAGACGAAGAGCGGGTCCTCTATGACAACCATCCTGTGTGTGCGGGATTCCTCCAAGCGGAGAGGCTAATTGAAGAATTCTTGACCTTAGCCTCTCTCACAGCACACTGGCACGACAAGGGCGCGGACTGGCGCGGACTGGCACACACACAGGCTCACCACCGGAGCCGCCTAAGCGACTCCGTTAAGAACGGCAATGCACTCCGCACCATGCACAATGCCGCTCTCCCTGCACGCTAGCTCGTTCACCGTCTGCCACGCCACGGCGGTGTGGAGGACGACAGACAAGCGCTGCATCTGCAGCCCGTGCCAGTTCTTGGTGGTCCATGTGACCTCGTCCAGGTGCTGAGCGTGCGAAAGTTTGTTGCTCAGCTGGTTCGCCGCCTCCCTCAGGGTGCTGCGAACCTCCTAATTTCCAAAGCCTCCGAAAGCCTCAAAATCAAACAAACGTAAATCGCAATCCTGCTGCCGCGCAAAGGGGTAATCCCGCGACGGCAAACCCCGGAAAGTGCGGCAAAAATAAGCGCGTGCACGTGTAAGCGCGCATCTTAGCCAAGGCTCGCGCCAGCACGTGTAGGTGCTTGTGTCAGATACGCGCCCACACGTGCAGGTGCGAGCCCTAGCTAACATGAGCGCCTCCACGTGCAGATGCGCATTTGGCGAGCTCGCCAAATGCGCATCTGCACGTGGAGGCGCTCATGTTAGCTAGGGCTCGCACCTGCACGTGTGGGCGCGTATCTGACACAAGCACCTACACGTGCTGGCGCGAGCCTTGGCTAAGATGCGCGCCTACACGTGCAGGCGCTTATTTTTGCCGCACTTTCCGGGGTTTGCCCGCGGCGACGGCGTCAGAACTCATGTCACTCCTGTAGCGGCTTTTCTTCAATTTTGCGGGACACGCTGGTGCGCTCGTGCGTGTCGTCATCATCTGTCTAGCGTCCACCCATACCGCGTTGGTGTCCAGTCCGAGCCTGGCTGTTCTTCACCTTACTACCTACCTACCTACCTGCGCTTCTGAGCTCCCCGGCCCTGGATGTGCGGTTAATGACTGCACTCCAAGTGCTCCAAGTGCGCCAAGTGCTCCACGTGGAGTGTGCGAAACAAACGGCTGGAGGCGAACATAGCCTCGCCATCTCCGCCGACGCGCGACGGCGCCCTCTGGAGCTGGGGCTTTGGAGGCGACGGCCAGCTGGGCCACGGCGACGGGCAGGAGCAGCGGCAGCCGAAGAAGGTCGAGGCCTTGGCGGGGCAGCGCGTCGTCGCTGTGTCGGCTGGATTGGCTCACAGCCTCGCCCTCACCGCCAACGGCGCTGTCTGGAGCTGGGGCTGGGGAGGCTTTGGCAAGTCGGGCCACGGCGACCTGCAGGACCAGCTCGGCTGCTGCCCAAGAAGATCGAGGCGTGGGCGCCGGGGAGGCGTGGGCGCCGGGGCAGTGATGAGAAGGGCGAAAGGGTGCCAGCAGGCTCTGTGTTGGTGCCTCGGGCGTTTTCTTCTTTATAACGCGGCGAGCCCGCCTTGGTCCAGCGCGCCCGTCCCGACAGTCACTGCCCCGACGTCGAAAGGCTGGCAGCCCTTCCGAAAGAAATAGAGAGGAGGGCTCGCCGGAGAGGGCAGAGGCGACGAGTGAACTGCAGGTAGTGGGGAAGGCAGCCTCGATTGCCGTACAGTCATGGGTGCGGAACCGAACGACCAAGACCAAGGTCCAAGGCACCGGTTTGACACTACTCGCGAGACGCGAGTCGCGAGTACCATGCAACTCCAGACACAGAAACGCACACTGTCGCTCGAGCTGCTGCGCTCGCACACTCAGGCATGCCGTACCGTACGAGCCACCTCACGACTCTGCATGGTCGAGCACATCACCCTACCCTAACTCTAGCCGCCTCCGGAGACCGCGAGCGGCCTCCTACCTCACAAGCGGAAGTTGCCACACCGCACCGGCGCTGCGTCCCTCGACACCGATATGTGCGGCGGGGAGCCGCCGTCGCTGCCTCCCTCGCCGCCGGACTACAGCGGCGGGCCGCCGCCCCCCTCGCCGCAGAGCGGCGATGGCACGCGCAGCTCGTCGGCCCACAAGGCGCGCCTGGACAGTTCCGAGAAGGTTCGTCTCCGTGTGGGGAATACCTCGGCTACATCTCGCTGATACCTCGGCTGCAGCTCGGCTGCATCTCGGCTGCAACTCGCATCAGCTCGGGGATGCACGTCCGCGACTGTATCTCGGCAGTATCTCGGCTATATCTCGGCTATATCTCGCATCAGCTCGGGGATGCACGTCCGCGAGGCCGCGATGAAGTTCTGGAGGCGGGAGTAGAAGGGCTCGCTGTTGTGCAGGTCCTTGCACGCAACCTCAAAGTCCGCGTAGCTGGAGGCGTTGCCGCGCGGGTACAGCTCCGCGCCGCACGACGGCGAGAGGGCGCCGCAGAGCGGCGCGTTCGGGTCCGCACTGGACGGGTCAAAGGCCTGGTCGACGCACTGTCCGATGGCAGGCACGAACTCGACCAGACCCCCCCCGAGGGACTGCTCCCCCCACGACTGCAGCAGCGCGGCCTAGAAGGTTCCGAGACGGTTCCGAGAAGGGTCCGAGAAGGCTCCCCCCACGACTGCAGCAGCGCGGCCTAGAAGGTTCCGAGACGGTTCCGAGAAGGGTCCGAGAAGGCTCCCCCCACGACTGCAGCAGCGCGGCCTAGAAGGTTCCGAGACGGTTCCGAGAAGGCTCCGAGAAGGCTCCCCCCACGACTGCAGCAGCGCGGCCTAGAAGGTTCCGAGACGGTTCCGAGAAGGGTCCGAGAAGGCTCCCCCCAACGACTGCAGCAGCGCGGCCTAGAAGGTTCCGAGACGGTTCCGAGAAGGGTCCGAGAAGGCTCCCCCCAACGGCTGCAGCAGCGCGGCCTGGCCGATCGTGTAGACGGCGCACGCAAAGCCGAGCACAGCCATGCCGTACAGGAGGACGCGCCTGTTCACAGCCGGAGGTGTGAAGAGACGCTGTTCACAGCCATGCCGTACAGGAGTCCGACGCGCCCTGCGAGCGCGGCGGAGCAGAGCGAGAGCGACGCCCTGAACTCGTCGGCCCACAGCGCCCGCACCTCGCGGCGGGGTCCGTAGTTGACGTGCATCTCGCAGGCCGCGAGGAGGAGGGCGCCTAGAAGGGTCCAGGAAGGGTCCCGGAAGGGTCCCGGAAGGGTCCCCTCCAGGCCGCGAGGAGGAGGGCGCGGAGGAGGACGTGGTACTTGAGGTAGGTGTACTCCAGCGGGTAGTCGGGCTCGCTGCTTGGGTAGAGCCCCGGCACGAGCCGGCTCTCCTTGCCGCCGTCCCCGGCAGACGCGAGGTAGCAGCAGAGGCCGATCGCAAAATCGAGGGCGAGGACCGCGTTCGAGTAGAAGCCAACCAGCGTGCGGCCGCGCCTAGAAGGCTCCTAGAAGGCTCCTAGAAGGTTCCTAGAAGGTTCCTGGAAGCGAACCAGCGTGCGGCCGCGCCTAGAAGGCTCCTAGAAGGCTCCTAGAAGCTTCCTAGATGGTTCCTGGAGGCCAACCAGCGTGCGGCCGCGCCTAGAAGGCTCCTAGAAGGCTCCTAGAAGGTTCCTAGAAGGTTCCTGGAAGCGAACCAGCGTGCGGCCGCGCCTAGAAGGCTCCTAGAAGGCTCCTAGAAGGCTCCTAGAAGGTTTCTGGAGGCCAACCAGCGTGCGGCCGCGCCGCGACGCGATGGGGGACGAGGCGCGGGGCGAGTTGCTCTGCCGCTCCTCGTAGGCAGCGCGCGACTGGAGCGGCACGATCTGCTCGTACAGCAACTCGTCCAGCTCGAGGATAAACGCGACGGCGGCCTGTTCACAGCTCTCAGCTGTACAGGAGGCGGCGCCCCCTCCCTCACAGCTCGAGCTGTGAACAGGCGGCCGAGTTGAGGACGGTGTCTCGCAGGTGTCTCGGAGGTGTCTCGGAGGTGTCTCGGAGGTGTCTCGGAGGTGTCTCGGAGGTGTCTCGGAGGTGTCTCGCAGGTGTCTCGCAGGTGTCTCGGAGGTGTCTCGGAGGTGTCTCGGAGGTGTCTCGGAGGTGTCTCGGAGGTGTCTCGGAGGTGTCTCGCAGGTGTCTCGGAGGCGTCTCGGAGGTGTCTCGGAGGTGTCTCGGAGGTGTCTCGGAGGTGTCTCGGAGGTGTCTCGGAGGTGTCTCGGAGGTGTCTCGGAGGTGTCTCGCAGGTGTCTCGGAGGCGTCTCGGAGGTGTCTCGGAGGTGTCTCGGAGGTGTCTCGGAGGTGTCTCGGAGGTGTCTCGGAGGTGTCTCGGAGGTGTCTCGGAGGTGTCTCGGAGGTGTCTCGCAGGTGTCTCGGAGGCGTCTCGGAGGTGTCTCGGAGGTGTCTCGGAGGTGTCTCGGAGGTGTCTAGACGGCCGCCGAGTTGAGGACGATGTCGAGGGCGTTGTCCGCTTGCGCGTTGATGAGCGAAGTTGCAATGAGGCACATCCCAGGGAGCATGCACATCCGGATGCTCCAAAAGACCTGCAGCACGATCGCGAACACCGCGCGCACCGCCATGCCGGCGGCGGTCAGCGGGGCGGTCGGCTTGTACCGCTGCGCGGGCGGCGGGGGAAGCAGGATGGGCTCGAGGGGGCACATCGAGAGGATGGTGCCTTGCGTCTCTTGCCGTACGAGCAGGGAGAGGAGGAGGAGCGAGAAGGCGGAGCAGTAGATGTTGATGATCGGCACGCGCCCGTCCGTGGCCGCGTCGGCGTAGAAGAGCGAGTTGTCGACGAAGGGCTTGAAGGCGTTCGTGTCGTCGCGCAGCTTGAACAGCATCGAGACGTCGTACACGCCAAAGGCAAAGGTAAGCTGGATGAAGGCGAGCGCCGCAAGCAGCAGGATCTTGCCGCTCGCCGAGAGAAGGTTGACGCCACCCCACTCCTGCACGTCTCCGAAGGCGGTATCGAGACACCAGCCGTACATGTTGAAGACGCTGGAGACGTCCGCCTCCTCGAGCAGGTCGCCCTCCTTTGCGCTCGCATCCTCGGCCGCCGTGCTGAGAACCGAGTTCTCCTTGAGGCTGAATATGCCACTTGCCGACGGCGCCGCCGCCTCCTCCTCCATTTTGCGAACACGGGCCTGAAGCGAGGCCATCTGCGCATGAAGCAGCTCCAGCTGTGTAGCTTCGGCAGGCAGAGGAGGCCGCGGCTCGAGGTGCTCGTCCAGCTGCATCGCAGCCGGGAAAGGGCGTCAAAGCCGGCGGACCGGCGTTCGGTCGGTAACCGCCCTCTCGAGGTTTCTCCAGATGGATACATGTATCCTTTCTCTCTCGAGGTTCTCGGATATCCTTTGGCCGTTGGGTAGCGAGGATTGGTGTAACCCGAGCCACGGAGGCGTGTTTTCTGACGGCCGACCGTCAGTGCACGGAGTTGCCCCTTCTCCGACTGCCCCGGCTAGTTAGTTCCCGAGGTCGTCGGGTGTGACCCCTTCGTCCCCCGAGACCTAGCGCGGGTGGGTTGGAGGGGGGCTCGCTGCAAGGAAGGGCGGTGTAAGAAGCCGATCCCCGTAGTCCGCCCCGTTCCTCCCCATCGGGCCGCGTGAGCGGCCACGCCTCGCAGATTCGTTTTCGCGCCGCAGCAAAACTGGCCCCAGGAATTCTGGCTCCGGTTTCGTTGTCAAGCATAGGTTTCATTTTCTAGTCGGCCGTCCTAGGACGTACGTCATTTCCAGGTCTCGATTCGGTTCCGTAGTGTATCTCCGCGCAATGGGAGTTAGCGCGCTCGCTCGCAGAGCGGCGCCTGCTAGCCGAGCGCGAATGCCTGGGTCGCTGAGCTCGCGTCGGTGGCCAACTGCGCCTCCGTGGCGACGCGCTCCGGCCACGAGCGACGTGCCAATCTGCACTTTGAGCTCGCTTGGCAGCCGCCGAGTGCGAGAGGAATTTAAACGGCCGAGCCGGCCATAGCACTTTTTTCTTGGAGCAATGGAGGGCGTGTGTGAGTTGTAACATTGAGACTGGAACTCAGGAAGACATTTAGTGGAGCCCCTGTGCACAAAACGTAGAATAACGAGAGGGGCCATGTGTGCAGTGACCTCTGTCTGATGACCGCATGGGAGAACTCTGTCTCAGCCTGTCCGCAGCCCCGCGCGCGCCCACACTGCGCGCGGGGCGGCGGCGGCGGCCGCCGCCGCAGGGGCGGGAGAGCAGAGCTGGAGACGCAAGGCCAGAGAGGCCGGAGATTAAACTCGAAGAGGGAAACTCAGGAGCCAGCTTCTGCCGCGCGGGCATCAAAAGCCTATGCTCCCCTTGCCCCTCGACCACAGCCTCGCTACGCGGCGGCGCGATGCCGGCTCACTTAGGCGACGGCGCCGGCGAGCCGGTCGTGCCTAGAAAAAAGAAATCGCGGCGGCATGAAACGGACCGTCCGGGGATGGCAAGCGGGGCCGGCGAGCCGGTAGTGCCGTGCGACGTCCCTGGCACGGACAAGCGCATAGCTCCAAGCCCGCGGAGCTCGCTGCCGGCGTGCGCGCTCGCCTCGCGCGAGACGGGCGGGCTCGTGGTCGGCGAGCGGCCGGCGCCCTGCCCAAACGCCCACAGGCGCGAGGCCGACGAGTTGCGCGGCATGCCTCCGTGCGAGGAGGAGTAGTCCTGCGGACATGTCTCGGACATGTCATGGACGTGTCCTGGACGCGGCATGCCTCCGTGCGAGGAGGAGTAGTCCTTTGGCGAGGGTGCCGGCCCGTCCACGCCAGGCCCGCCACCTCCGCCGGCAAGGAAGGCGTTCCCGCCCTTGACGGACGGCTCCCGCGACGAGCCTGCGGTGAGAGAGAGGGTCACATTCATTAATACTACTCGTTAACTAATTAAGTAACGGACGGCTCGCGCGACGAGCATGGGGGTGAGGTAGGGTCAGGTGAGCTTCTCCACACAGACGCGGACAAGGGGTGCCGGGGCAGGGGGGGGCGACCCTCGCGACTCCACGTCGAAAAGACAGGAGCTCCGCGCATTCAAGCTGCAAGGCCCGGTGCGCGATGGTGATGTGTGTGTGTGTGTGCCTGCCTCGGACGAGGGCGGGGAGATGCGCCCGTTTGCCCAATTCCACAGCGTGAGCCCGACAGAGGAGCTGCGAGTCATGCCGCCGCCGCCGTCCATGCTCGACGCGACGGAGGACTCGCGCGACAGGGAGGAGCGCCTGCACACAGTACGTGTGCATGTGCATGTGCATGTCATGTTCATGTTCATGTTCATGTGCATGTGCATGAGTGGCGACTCCCGGTCATACAGCTACAGCTGCGAGAGAGAGCGAAGACGCGCCAGTTCCAGAGGCTGCTGTTGGACGCGACGGTCGGGATGCCTCCGGCACCCCCGGGGAGGGTGCCGCCCGCAAACTGCGCGCCGCCGTCCACGCTCGCGTCGCGGCTCGTAGCCGGCGTCGTCTGCGCAGACGGGCCAGTCGAGCGGCCGTTCGCCCAGTTCCAGAGAGTCGCGCCGACCGAGTCGGTGCGCGAGACGCTGCCGCCGTCGGAGGACGGGTACTCGGTGTTGCGCTGCGTCCAGTCGTGCATCGACGAGACGCCTGCGCCGGCCGGCGGCGGGTGAGCGAGGCAGCGCCGACGGCAAGCGCGCGAGGCGGTGCCGTCTTCTGAGCGCTGCGACGCGTGCGGTGCGCGCTGTGCGGAGCAAGGCGGTGCTCCTTTGGGGGGGGGGGGGCCGGTTCACTTTTGTTCCGGGGGGGCTTGTCGAGATTGGCCATCTGGGGCGGGTTAGAAAAACCGGGGTTTTTTTGTTCAATGGCGGGGGGGGGGGCAATAAGGGTTTCAGGCGGGGGCCCCCCCCCCCCCCCCCGACCTCCCCCCCTGTCCGTGTCCGCTCGGCGAAAGTGTTTCACTGCTCTCTCACTGTTGCACTGTCAAGATGCCGATGAATCATTTACCATCCGATGAATGGGCTTCCGTTTACTCGCTCGAGTACCTCGCATTTCACAGTGGGCCCCGACCTCGCATTTCTTCCAGTCCTGGCGGAGTCCGGCGGAGCCCCCCCCTGCCGGAAGCAAGGCGCGAGAAACACACACACACACACACACGACGCCAGCACACACACACACTTGAGCACTTGAGCACCGGATAGGGTCGATTCCGCGTGGTACGGGACCCCTCGATCGACCGTCTCGCCCTCCCTCTCTGGTGTGTTCATTGGGGGGGGTCATAACAAACACGGTACAGGATCGAGGTGCACGCTGCCGAAGCAGTGTCGTCCCCCCTCTCCCCGACGGCGATGAGAGGAATTCCCACGTTGAGAAGGGTATTGCAATCGCTCGGCATTCCCAATTCGAAGGTCCGGCGATTGGAAAGGCCGATCCCCGGGGACTTGGAGCACTTGGAGTGCAGTCATTAGCCTCACATCCAGGGCCGGGGAGCTGAGAAGCGCACCCAGCGGGCCGGATGATCGGGATCGGGCTACGGGCTAGAGAGCCCTGACCCCTAGGGGGGGTGCGCGTTCGCAGGGAGAGGGCCGTAAAGTAAACACGGGTCTCCGAGGGTTATAGTCCGCGCTCCAGGTTTCCCCTAGCAGCGGAGCGCCCGCTCTACTCGGAGCTAATAAACACCAGACACGCACACGACGTACATCCTCACTCGACGTCACCCCTCGAGGCTTCTCCGTTCGGCCTCCCCCCCTCGGTCCGGAGGGGCCCTCTTATCCCCTCGATCCTCCCCCCACTCGCTTTCCGCTGGTTGGGCAACGGATGCGGGGCCCGGCCCCCCCTCCTAGCCTTTTTCGGCCGCGGCCCCGCCGCCGTCTCGCCCTCTCTGCTTGATCCTGTTGACTCCGTCTCCGGCGATCCCGCGCCCGACTGACTCCCCGGGTGAGGGCGGCGGCATCATGTCTCGTCGCCCCCCTCTCCAGGAGGTCGGGCCGGCTCTCCCTGGTCAGCGAGTCGCGCCCGCACCCGTGGCCTCTCTATCGTTCTCGGCTCGCCCTCCCCTTCCTCCTGCTCCTCACTAAGCTCGGGAAGGCGCGGTCCCTCTTGTCGTAAATCACGGCGGTCCAGCCGACGCCGCGACGGGTCTACCCCCGGTGGGCTCGCACGGCCCGACTCCACTCGCAGAGGCCGAGTCAGCTCGACTCTCTCCTCCTCCGACAGTTGACTCCAGGCCTCACCCGGGGTCCTCCGATCCGGGGACGAGATTTTTATACGAGATCCCGCCGAGATACCCGAGGTGATGACGAGGAAAGAGAAATTTGCAGTCGGACCCCGATCGAGTCAGATCCCCCTTGTAAACGCGGAAGAGTTCAAAAATCTCTGTCTCTACACGTTGCGCAGGTTCCACCGGGTCAAGCCGAACTAACCCGGCAACGAGTTAATTTAATTACGAGTAGGAATGCGGGCGAGCGCTCGCGCTAGAGGAAAGCAAAAGCAAGAAAGAAAGAAAGAAAGAAAGAAAGAAAGAAAACAGACAAACCAAGGGAGGGATGGGAGGACGGCAAAAGCAAAAGACAGAACGCCGCGGGCCGTGTGTAATTCTTTTTCTCGCGATGTCCACGCGGCGCACAGCATACGTCAACCTGTGTACGTGCGGCTCTGCGCCACATGGCCTCCCCACACGGTGAGATTACGAGATGGCATGCTTTGGATATGCTACGGTTACTAGGTCGAATGCTCCATCAGCCAGGCGTCAAACTAGCAGGAGCGAGGGATCGCGAGATGCAGCGCGGCAGTCCCATCGCGAGGGCATCGCCTGCAGCTTGCGCGTCGTCGACTCCTCGCCAAGCTCATCCAGCCGAGCGCTGTATGTGGACGCCGTGATGAGATGCCTCCGGGCGACCGGGTGGGCAAGATAGAGCTGCGCAGAGTAGAAGAGCGCCACGCCGAGTGCCACCAACGCGAGGCCAGCGAGCTCGCACCCGCTCGTTGGCAGCTCGTGGAGAAGGATGGCGGAGCCGAGACAAGTGGCGACTAGGCGCAGACCGCTGGCGGCCGAGTGCCGAATTGTTCCGAGAGTGCGGTTGACCATGATTTGCAGGTAGTTGGCAGTTAGGTAGACACCCCAGGCCAGGCCAAAGAAGCTGGCCACACCGCCCGGCGAAAGGGCAAGGATGGCATGGAGAGACTTGCGGTCCCGCAGAGCAACAGAGAGCATCGACGGCAGCGCGCTCACCGAGAACTGCGCGAGCATGAGCTCGGAGCTACTGAGCAGCCCCTCGCTCAGTCTGTGGCTCAGCCTGACTGCGGTGGCCATCAGCACAGAAGCGCTCTGCAGGCCCATCCCGGCGAGGTCGAGCGAGGTGAAGGCGCCGTGACTAGCGAGGGCACCCTGCCCAAGCACGACCAGGCCAGTCCCGCTAAGCGTCAGGAGCAGGGTTGGGAAGAGCAGCGGCGGAAATTCTTCCTTGAGCACCAGCCGCGCCGCGACTGCGGTACAAAAGGGCGACAGCATCCCCACCATCTCAACGTTGTATGCGAGGGTCATTGTCGCAGATTGCAGGGTCGAGAGCATGCGGCCAAGCTGCAGCAGACCGTAGACGACAAAGGCCAGCATCCGCGCCCGCGGTCGGCCTCCTGCTCCCACACTGCAGGGTCGGCTCTCCAGCAGCGCTGCCGGGAGCAGGATCACGGCGTTAAGCGTCGCGACGCAGCCGAGGATGGCGACGCTCGAGGGCGAACCGCTCTCGAAGCGCTCGCGCGTTGTGATGTACCGCTGAAAGACGCCGCCAAGCCCTGCAAGAAGCGCGGACAGGATTGACATTGACCACAGGACACCCAACGACAAGGGTCGCCTATTGCCCTCCTTCGCAGGGGCTGCCTGACTCGCGTCATGCGGGTGCAACGCGTCTGCGGCCAAAGTCCAGAGGGAATCCACGGTGGCGTGCATGTCTTTGGCCAGCGGCAGCGCTGCGAATTGCAGGACGCGCTGGACTGTGGAGGAGGCGAGCGTTGTCAAGAGAGGATGTGCCGAGCGGAGGGTCGAGTGATGGAGCAGGAGCAGCATGCGCTTCGTGCTAAGGTGTGCGCAGAGGCCCGGCAGAATGGCATCGTCCGGTACGGCCTTCTTATCATGCTTCTTGCCGATCTTGACGCACGCCACGAGGCTCAGCTGCGCGTCGAGCTGCAGCGCCTGCAAGAAGCAATAGGTGGGGAATATTTGTCTATGTCTGATTGCCCATAGCCTCCTGCGAGAACTATTTGCCTCCTTGTGGGAGCGTGTGCTCGCTCGCCTGCAACTCGCCAGGGCCCCCTTCCTCAGCAACGGAACCGGCGAGGCCGACCAGTGGACGCCGGTCGGGCCGCTCAACACCTCGGCCTCGGCGCCACTCCGCCTGCCGCGCACGCAGCCGTGGCGCCCGTTTGGCCTCGAGCCGAGCGGCCGCAAGGCGCGCACGGCGGAGCGGCGCGGACCTGTCGCGTCTGCCGGGTGGACCGTCCGCCCGTTTGTAAACAGGTGCACGGCGGCTTCTCGATGGCGTGGAACGACGGGCAGGTCACCTTCGTCTCCATCCGCGGCGCCGGCCACCTCGCGCCACTCTACCGGCCGGCCGCCTCCTTCACGATGATGCGCGCCTTCCTCGCCGCCGAGCCGCTGCCGCCACCCTTCTACAAGTACCCCGAGAACAGCGCGCTGTGAGGCGCCGAGGGAGCAATGGAGCAGCGTCGCCCCTACTTTGCCTCCGCAAATCTGTCGCCAGTTCCTTCTGAGAGAGGGAAGGCTGAGGGCCGCGTCGCTGCGCAGCGGAACAAGAGGGCGCGCAGAAGCAGCGAGGCGGGAGCGGAGGGGCGTGCGCAAGACAAGACAGCGACGATGCGAGGTTGCGCGGCGCGCAAACGGTTGCGGCCCGTTGCGCGTGACCGACTTATTCTCCATGCATCTCTCCACCTCGGTCGGCGCTTGATGTCCCATGTACACTTGATCCCATGTCGCATGTGCCGTGTGCCGGAGGCGGTGACGCATGACGCATGTGAGGTGCCTCTGCAGACTGCACTTCTCTTGCATACGATAGTTTACATGCACTTCTCTCTCCTTTGCCCTTTCTTAAAAGAAAATTGCAAACGTGCGCCAGCGTGTACGCATGCGCTGTCGAGTGTCAACCCCGCGGGCAAGCCCGGACTCGTGAGTTCTCAGTTCTCGTGTCACCTCGCGCCGGGCCAAACGCCTCGACCGACGCCGGCCCGCCGTTGGGCGTGCCGCCACCGACAATCGCGCGGCGCAGGGTTGGGGCCAGGTTGAGCGCATCCGGCAGTGCGGGAGGCCTGTGAGGCGTGTGTGCCGAGTTCAGTTGCATTGCAGAGAGGGAGATTGCGCCGCAACACCGTGCATGGGCAGGCGAGCACGGAGAGAGGAGGAGTGCACACCACACGCGACCCGGCGCTGGAGCGTGACCACCGCGCGCGCCACAGGCCGAGACGAGGGCAGGTGTGTGTGCAGCATCTGACCGCGGGCGGGCCTGTCCTCGCCGTAGACCACGCCTTGCGGGCTCTGGCCGGGCAGAAAGCGCTTCGGGTCATATGCGCTGGCCCAGCCAACCTGAGCGGGTGGGAAGGGCACGATGCGCCGGCGCCCCAGCGTAGAGGCGTCGTGCACCCCTCTTTTTGGTTCTTTTGAAAGGGCACGATGTGACGCGGGGAGGGCGGAAGATGGGGCGAGGCATCGGAGGGCAGCGGCGCCTCGGCGGCGTCGTTCGAGATGCTTCCAGAGAGACCGTCTCTCCGGTCGGGCTGGTCGCAGTATTCGGCGCACGAGTCGAGACAGTAGCGGCCGCTCTTCGGCGCCACGCGGAAGCAGTTCGACTGGCAGTCCTGAAGGCAGTCGACGGCGGCAGAGCTGCGCAGCGGCGCGAGAGGCGCGGCGACAGCGGCGAAAAGCACGCCGCGGCGCGACACGGGCCACTGAGAGGCAACGCTCGAGGCCGCGGAGGTCGCGAAGGCTGCGGCAAGCATGCAAGAGGAGGCGCCTCGGAGGCGCCTCGGGCCTCGGGCTTCGGGCCTCGGGCCGGCGACGGAGAGGGCTGTGGTGCAGGCCGGCGAAGGAAGAAAAGAGAAAGGGCGCGGTCCGGGTTTTGCGAGGTCGTCAGGCTCGCCGCGGCGTCGGAGGACGCCGCCGTCGCCTAGACTCCCCTGCGTCACTACGTGCCTCCCCGTCTTTGTAGCCTGGCGTTTGTGCCCCGTTTGTGCCGCGTCCGTGGTCAACGGGCGTTCGACCACACCACCGGCCAAGGCTACGTCAAGTCACAGCGTGGCCACTACCATGATGGGATCTTCACCAAACGCAACAAGTTCAACCTGCTTCTCCACGAGACATTCGGCGGCGGCTTCTCGCCGCCAGCAGTTGCAAAGATCAACCGCCTTGCGCGCAAGGCTCAACGCTCGGGCGTTGACCGCACCGCGTACCCTCCCCACTCCCGCCTCTCATTTGTGTCACACCACGCGGAACGCATCTCCATCGCTTCGGTGAAGGGGGTGAACCGTGCCATCCTCGATCGCCGTGCAAAGCTCGCTTCCGAGCTCTCACGCCGCGCGTAGGGCCCTTAGGGGCCTAGAGAACACCTACCCCTCTCTCTTTTTTCTCCGCGTCCCGTGCGCCCGAGTTCATTTTATACAACAAGATGGCATCACGCTCGCACCTGCCGACCGCCGCCACGGCGGCGAGACGCCTTCTCCGCCACCGCGGCGCCGGCCACAGGCCAGCGCTAGGCAGCTGCCGGCCACACTGGGCCGGATTTGCCGGTAACCGTCGCCGCACACTCCTACGTCCACGCCGCTGTGACGTCTGGCGACGAGGCGCCGGCCGCCAAGCTTCATCGCCAAGGTGGTCGCTCGCTGGTCCTCTCGGCTCGGCCACGCATCGGCCCAGCTCACACGAGCTCCAGACAGCCACCAGTCGCCACGCGCAAAGCGTACGGGTCGCCGGCTCCCTGTTGTGCTCTCACGCTGGCCGGCGTAAAACTGTACTGGCAGTTGTCATGCCGTACCCGTCGCGTTTCGAAAGGGAGCCCTCAGTCGACGCCTCTACACGCACCGCGCCACCGCTCTCCACAACTGCTACCGTGGACATCAAGCTCCTCGACTCGATCTGCGGCTACGACGGCGCTCTAGCTGCTGGCTCTCGCGGGTGTCTGGCGACCCGCTCAGGCTTGCGAAACGACGGGCACCGGGTGGAGCGGCGGCGGCGGCGGCAGCGGCACGCGCGGGCGGACGGATTCGGACGGGGCGGAGCAGCGACCGCCTGGGCGGCCGCTGCTCTGTCTGCCAGAGCGCGCGCCGTCTGCGCAGCTCAAGCGCCGTCAGGTGCAGGGAAGCGTGGCGGCGCGGGGACGCGCGGCGGCGGTGGCGAGCAGGCGAGCGGCCCGCGCGCGGCGAGGCGGACAGGTGATCGGCAGGCGGGTGATGGGCCGCAGAGTGACCGCGCCCAGCGATCGGAGACGAGTCGATCGTCGCTCGGCCGCAGCTGACCTCGAAGGCGTGCGGAGCGCGACTGTTGGTGTCGGTGGGCGGCCGTCATGTGGCGAGGAGGGAGGACGACAAGTGCGCGTCGTACGGGTCGCTCTTCATCGGCCAGTCGAGCGGCACTCAAGTCGAGACCGACGCAACATGACGGGTTTTGACCCGGTACTTCGAACGCCCGTGAAATCTGCTCTGCCGCCAAAGCTTGTGACGAGCACTTGAGTGTGTGTGTGTGTGTGTGTGTGTGTGTGTGTGTGTGTGTGTGTGTGTGTGCTCCGCGCGCGCGTGAGGGGATCTGACTGCATGACACACATGTCCTCTTGTTGTGCGAATACTCATCATATGTCAGAGAAAATGTCATCATTTCTATGTCTGCTCCATCCCATGGTGCATGCAGCATGGAGACCATGCACTCTGGGCGCGACACCGACAGGGACCGACAGGGGCCAGCACCCACACTGCTTTCACGTTTCAGGAGTCGGCCCGCGGCCGCCGCGGCTGTCTCAGCCATCGCCAATACTGGAGGGCGCTTACGTTTCATTGCCCCAGGCACCACTTTTGTGTGTGGAGACGTTTCCCTTCGCCTTACCTTACCTTACCTGCAGCTGCACGGGGATCTCCCCTCTCTTTGGACCGTCCCGTTTTGAGATCTCTCGGTATAAGTGGGCGCCCGCCCGCAGCCTCCACGAGGGGGTCGCGCCCCCAATACATCACATC